TGAGATATTGAAATGCTCTGTAATTTGTATTGTATTGAAGATGCACATTTGGCTTGAACATTTAGATTTTTTGTTTTAGTAACTTTTGCTTCAAGCTACAGTTTTGTTACATTTTAATTGTAACCGTTTTGTTAACTGTAGTTTTTAATTACAGTTTTATTAAGTTTAGATTAGGACCACAATTTTTCTGATTTTAACTTTTAGTTACAGTTCTACTAATGTAATGTCAGCTACAGCTATAGTCAGTGGTGGGTAGCGCTAATTTAAATTTTAGTTGTGCAATTTCTAAAGCGCTAGTCAATTTATTTAGGTCCGCAAGTTCAAAAGCACATATGCTCAAAAGTGAGCACTTTACTACCATCTAGTGGTAAGATTATTTTCTTTGAAAAATTGAAACGTGTCGTTGCAGAATGGGGAGGTGATTTGTCGAAACAGACTTTTAAATCATGGTGTTAAAATAAAAAGCTAGCTACAGTTTGGCTACATTTAGCTTCTAGTTACAGTTTGGCTACATTTAACTTCTAGCTACAGCTTGGCTACGTTTAGCTTTTAGCTACAGCTTAGCTACATTTAGCTTTTAGCTAAAGTTTGGCTACATTTAGCTTTTAGCTATGGGTTTGCTAAGTTTAGTTCTGTTCTGCTGGTTTTGACTGTAGCGTCTCATTTTTTAACAAATCCTTCAGCTCTCAGCATCTATAACTGCTTTTCACAAAGAAGCAGATTTTTATTTTTCCCTGCTCGTCGTCTGTCAGGCGTGTTTTCTTAGGTTTAAATAAGTTTGTAAAACATCTGGACTGCGGAAGAAACAACACAAAGAGCGCGGGCTCTAAGTGACYGAGTCGAGTAGCTGGAAATGAGGGGATGGGTCTCAGATTTCAGGACCACAGGGTTTTATCTGTCACCAACACAACAGCTGAAGTTTAGTGCGTCTCTGCGTACCGGCTATGAGGAGGGAGGCCTTCAGRGTAACCTGGGATCCTGTGAGGCTGCGGCCGACACACTTGTAGTTTCCGGTGTTCCTGGGTTTGACCTGCGTGATCAGCAGAGTCCCGTTGGACAGCAGGAACACTCTGAACAGAGGAAACAGAAAATGCTATGTTGCTCACTTTGATTCACAAAACTAATGTTCAAACAAACAAACAAAGAAAATAGTTCAACATTTAAAATCATTTTTTTAGTTTAATACTTCAGGGGGTCTGTGATGCTGGTAATGATGGATCAGTAATTAATAAGATAAGAAGCCGAAGAATCCTCACATACAGAAGCTCCAAACGAGCAGCTCGTTGTAGATTTATGAGAAAGACTTTGTGGAGTTTATAAAAACACTGAATATCTAACAGAAAAAAACGACATCATCCTTCAGTTTTACTACAGAGAACAGCAGCGAGTCCCTCAAGAGGCTGATATTTCTGTCATCTTGTCTTCTTTGTTTCAGGAGCAGGAAGCTAAAGGAACCGAGGGAGACTTTAGCTCATGTTCCACGATGATGATGATGAACAAATGTGAGGAACATTACATCAGTCTGAGCGAGAATATCAACAATCCCACAAAAAACCGAACAAAGCAAAGATGAAGCAAAAAAGCTGACAGGAGAGAAGCTGAAACTGAGATGATGAAGCTAAAAAACAGAGCTCTAGCTAAAAAGGCAAAATGCTAGCTAGAAGCTAAAAGTAGTGAAAACCTAGGTAAACACAAAAGTAGCAAAATGCTAGTTCAAAAATTTGAAAAATAGAGGCTAAAAAATTACAATAGTAAAATAGTAGCTAAAAGCAAAAGTAGCAAAACAGTAGCTAAAAACTACTTGAAGAAAAATGACATTTAAAATTTTAAACATAAACAGTATGCTAGTTTAAAAAGTAGTACAATAGTGGCTAAAACTGTTGAAGCAGCACAATGGCAGCTAAAAGCAAAAGTAGCAAAAAGCTATCTAAAAAATCATAAATAGCAAAACGGTAACTGGATGCTAAAAGTAAGAAAATGCTGGTTTAAAACGTAAACAATATTCTAGTTTAAAAAGTAGTACAATAGTGGCTAAAACTGTTGAAGCAGCACAATGGCAGCTAAAAGCAAAAGTAGCAAAAAGCTATCTAAAAAATTATAAATAGCAAAACGGTAACTGGAAGCTAAAAGTAAGAAAATGCTGGTTTAAAACGTAAACAATATTCTAGTTTAAAAAGTAG